AACGTATTTCAAACAAGTAGAAAAATAACTATATTGGTTTGCAATTTCAATATAAGCCTTAATAGAATTGATCTCCACAAATGTCAGTGAGTTCCTCTATAACTATAAAATTTAAGCTCACAAATTCATTCTTTGAAAAGTATCATGGTAAATCATTATTTATCTAAAGAGTCAATAGAAACAAAATAGCAAGTAAATTTTGTTACAATAGATATTCAACTAATCAATAATTTATATTGTGTTAAATAAGTAACTTTTCTGAAAAAATAAAAAATAAATTGAGTGAATAGAGCTGCTTTTTTTTTTTTTTTTTTCCAAACAGTTTTCAACTATCAAAACTTAAATCGAATGATTTTCAACAGTTTGGTTCGATTTTTGAATCGAAGCGCTGACAAGACAATGTGAAATCAAACTAACGATTTAAAAACTATGATTTATGTTCAATTGGCGCATTATGGTTTTTGTTTACCTTAATTTTCACTGTAATTCTTACAAAACTTGGGAATTTGGGTGTCGTAATTGGACGTCTACTTTAATTGACATCTTGACCATAAGAGTGCAACAAGAACTAGAATTTGGAGCATGAATTTGTAATTAGATTCGATGAAAAAAGATCTTTAATTATGATTTTGTGACTTTGAAACTATTTTCGAGCATGTCACATAATTTTACATGGCTAAGCATAAAAATGAACTTGGATTACTAAAAACCTTAGTTACTCTAGCTAATAAATTGTTCGCGTAGGGTGGAACGTCAAATTTAATACGTGAACTTAAAAACTTAGTTGAACATGTAATCTCACTGGAAGGAAAAATAATAATAATAATAAATAAATAAATAAATAAAATACAAACTATTTAATTCAAGACAAGTAATTTAGTATTTCATGATTTTTCTTGATTGGTTTTGCGTTCCCATTGAACTATTTAGTTGCTTGATCACCAATTAGATAGTAAGTTGTTTATTGTAGTATAAGAATACTCACAATAAGTCTTGAACGCAGTAAAATCAATATATGGACAATAGGTATTATGAATAATATTTATGGCATGTGTAATCATGTGTGATAAATCTTGTGAATCAATGCATGTTTTTCATATGAATTCGAACGAAGAAAAGATCAGATTGTGTTAAACATAGGTCTAATATATCGTGGAAAATAATATTGAATAAAAGTGGATGACCGATTGTATTAAATAAACGAATTTACAAAATTATGAATTAAGAGTTGAATTAAATAGCAATAGGGGGATTCACGATTCCAATACATTCATAAATTAGATAAATATTTTATTTGCTTTCTTAGTTTAGGACTAGCTAGTATAGAGAACATATAAATCACAACTCTCTTGATATCACCACACTTCGAATTTAACAGTAATTATTGAACTAGAAATTAGACCTTATTTATCGTGAGAATGATACTCTTAACTCATAAATCTTATTACTTATATAATGATCTTGTACGCTTGGGATTTTCATATGAACAATTACCAACTGACTTTTCGTTGGTAAATGTCCATTATTACAATTGGTAAAAATCAGTATTGTAAATAGTGGCAGAGGTGCGAGGCATGGCAAACAAATTTATTATTGTTGTTGTTGTTGCTGTTTAATAACTATAATTTCAATTTTATTTTTTTTAACTTTTAACCCACTGAATTAAAACACCCAAAAAGTTGTTTAACCACTTATTGGACCTCTAATTTATAGATGATATCAGTAAAGATTTTGTTGTGAACTTTAATTGTGGGATAAGAATTCCTTTGGTTGGGCTGTAATGTATTGTACCTTTACATAATGTTATATTATTATATAAATAATTATTTATATTTTATTACCCTTCACCTATATATATTTAGTAGGTGAATGGTCAAATTTTTTTATTATCATTAGAATTGATTAATATCATCAATTAATTTTCCGTATGTGCTATGAATATTAATTCACATACGTAAATTTCGTTTTTTGAAGAGGGTGATTTTTTTTTTTTTTTTGGAAAAATAATTATCCTTCGCCTATTGTTATTCTATAGGAGAATGTTTAAAACTTTAGTTATTAAAATTAATTAATATTTGTAATGACAATTTCGTTAGTAATATTAACTACTATTCACCCACAAAAAATTCGTTGGTGAAAGGTTGACATAGTTTTTAGAATAAAGATTGAACTGCATCACCTACGGAAATGCTGTTGGTAAATGGTATGCATACTAGATGATAACTTTAGGCATGGATTATCCGTTGATGAAGAGCTACAACTTTTACCAATCGTAATTTCCATTTGTGATTTTCATAGTTAAAAGTCTAATACTTTTACCAATGGATAATCTATTTTTGATTATCAATGGATACAATTCGTTAGTAATTATTCATAGGTGAAAAACTGATCTTTAATAGTATCTTGAGTATGAAAACATGTGAACTTAAAATTTAGTCTAATGTGTAAGATTATTTTGAACCTTTTGTATGAAGTTTACTTGAATAGTGATTTTCATTTAAAATGTGATTAAAAAAATTGGTAAAAGATATAGAAACAAGTGAAGAATAATTTTTATTTCAAAAAATGCAGGAAAATGAGCAAGGAGAAAAGAAAATTTTCAAAATCAATTGGCGAGCTCTTTCAAAAGTGATTTTTTTTTTTTTAAAATGTGTGATTAAAAAGAGTATGAAAAAGTTGTAAATAAAGGTGAGTTTTTTTTTGTTTTTTTTATACACTTGAAAATGAATAATATAAAAAACTATTTGACAAAAAAATCATTGCCACACATAGGCTAAATGCACAAACAAACACGAGCACTCTTGTAATTTTCTAATGGCAAATATATATCATGATTCACAACATCATCAAAACTTGGACCAAGATTTGAGAATGCTAAAATTTGGTTAAATAATAAATGACCACTATCGACAACACATAGCCACATATTTTTCAATGGATTTGAAAGTAAATGTTTCTTTTATTGGTTTGAATGGAAGAAAATATTTTTTTTTGGAAAATGTAGTAAAAAAATGAGCAAAGAGAAAAACGGTTTTTAAAATCACTCGAACAACCTTTTCTCTTTTTTTTTTTTTTTTTAGAATGTGTAATTAAATAATAGGAAAAAGTAATAGAAAAATGTTATTTTATCTTAACATATACAGTTGAAAATAAATGTGAAAATAAATAATTTTAAAAAAACTATTTGATAAAAAATCATTGCCACGCATAGGCTTGGACCAAGGTCTGAGAAACCTAAAATTTTGTTCAATAATAAATGATCACTATCAAAAATAGAGAGCCACATATTTTCCGACATATTTGAAACTTAATTGTTTCTTTTATAGTTTTAAATGGAAGATAATAATTTTATTGGAAATTGCAACAAAAAATGAGCTGGGAGAAAAACAATTTTCAAAATCACTTGAAGACCTTATTTTAAAAGTATTCCTTATTAAATAGTAGAGATAGTTATAGAAAAACATGATTTTATTTTAAAATATATAGTTGAAAATGAATTTGTAATAAATAATTTTAAAAAACTATTTGATGAAAGAAAATCAATGCCACGCATAGCCAAATGCACAAACAAACATGAGCACTCTTGTAATTTTCTAATTACAAATAAAAATCACGATTCATAGGATATTCAAAGCGTGGACCAAGGTTGAGACTGCTAAAATTTTATTCAATAATAAACTATCGCTTTATAAAATAGAAAGCCACATATTTTTCGACATATTTGAAATGTAAGTATTTTTTTTTTACTGTTTTAAATGGTTGATATTAATTTTTTGTTTTGGAAAATGCAGTAAAAAATAAGCAAACGGAAAAATGATTTTAAAAATCATCTGGAGAGCTTTCTTACAAGTGATTTTTTTTCCCTGATTTTGTGATTTAAGAAGTTGAAAAGTTATTGGAAAACGTGATTTTATTTTAAAATATGTTTTTGAAAATGAATTTTAAATATATATATATCATAAAAATTCATTGCCACGCATAGGGAAAATGCTCAAACAAACATGAGCACTTTTGTAATTAAAATTGCAAATACATGATTCACAAGATTCTAAAAACTTGGACCAAAGTTTGAGAATTCTAATGTTTTGTTCAATTACAAATGATCCAAAAGGGAAAGCCACATATTTTTCGACGTATTTCAAACGTAAGTTTCTTTTATGTTTTGAATAGAAGATAGTGATTTTTTATTTTTATTTTTTGTTGAAAATGCAGTAAAAATGACTCAGGAA